TGAAGCAAAGTGTGTGCTATTATTTTTTCGATCAAGTTTTATTGTAGCTCGATAAATAAATCGTTATATGTATCATGGGAACAAGTAATAATTTATTCTCAAACTTTCTCGCGTATTCTCAAAATTATGTATAGACCTTGATGATCTTTATATATGGATAACGTTAAATTCTTTATTGTTAAATTAAGGGGATGCTGTTGATCAGATTTTTGTAGTGCGATCATATTAACGTAATTTTTCCCCAAAGTGTATTCCAAGATTGATCCTGTAAATTGTATAAAAAGGTGATGCTCCGGCTAGTGAATCCTTTTATCTGCCTCATGCAAGTAAAATAAAAATCAAATGAAAAATTCAAACTAATCAAATCTTAATATTATTTACATCAACAATATCTCTAATCAAACGAACTTGTATTTTTCGCAAAGTAATAATAAAGTAAGTTGGTTTATTGCTTGGCTAACTTCTTGAAACATGTCATCACGATGTTAATCGATCTTCCCGCCTCTATAGATGTTCCAAAATGAAGTGGGCATGTTATCTTTCTTGGCATTTTGGTCTTCGCCGAGAAAATCTTTGACCATTATCACGCGTCTCGTCACATGCAATGGCACAGCAAAAGTTTGACGCAATATCAGGGACAGTCAAATATTATTTGGATAATTTTTAAGATATTTATTTTTGGGGGGTCCTTAAAGCCCGGCAGAAGTTAGGGTTACTTTTTTGATTCAGTTAGAGTTAGCGGTTTATTAAAATATCAAGAACGCGAGTTATGCAATATGTAGATCAATATGTAAATCTGCCCCGCTTTAAGGGACGCAAATATCGATTATATAAACTAGTAGATTTGATATGCGTAGTAACTATAACTTTGTTTTCTTCCCAGTTTGGTAAAAAAAAAAGATTTTTTTTCACCCTCAATCTGGTTCTAGGTTTATACTAGTTATAGTATAATGTATTGCTACCAATCAGAATGAGATCAGGTGTAACGTGATATGATTTTTGCATTCTGATTGGCCAATTTTCTAAGATCTGCAAGAAAATTCACTTTTAACAAAAATTTCGGAAAATTTGATAAATTTTGATCAGATCGAAAAAATATACAGTATTGCTTGAAGAGAAAAATTTCGTCGCTCTTGAAAAGTTAAGTATTACTGTTAATATTAGTATCTGTTTCCATGTACACGCGCCTCTTTTTGTTGCATGGGTACCATCAAGCCCAGCCCGGAGATTCAACACGAAGGGCGGATTTCTTGATTAGACAGAAAGGATGCTGGGATACTAACGCCCCAGGGTTTACTTGCAAATCTTCCGTATTCAACATACGTGTAAGAAAGGAGGTTAGCGGAAAGAGCTTACTTCTGGGAGAGTATTCGGTCTGTGTCCAGGAGCTCCACTCTTCTGCCTGATCGTTCAACACGAAAAGGACAGCTAGGGTCATATGCTAAGGATTGCCTCGAACTCTCATGTGTTCAACCGCGTGATTGTGACTGAATATTTTGCCTCGGATGGGGGCTACAAAAGAATATTTGCGTGTGTATCTGTTGGTATCATTGGTTAACATGACGCCTCCTTTTTTGCAAAAAAGCAGATGAGCAAAATAGTCAATTTCAGGCTTGATCCTAGTATTTGCCAACCAAATTCGAGAATTAGTCTATTTTTCTCTAAAACGCTCTTGATGAG